GCTTGTATGTCAGAATCCTTTGATGTCTTTGATTGCTTTGGTGCAAATAAAGACGAAATCTCTTGTTGGACGTTGTGGTCTTTTCATCGCGGTTTTGTTTCTTGGGCAAGACTTAAAATGATCGTAAAATATCAAAACATGCAAAATTACATTGCGTTTGGTTTAAATCGATAATTTATAAACACTTGGTTACTTCTGAAGTTGCACTTACGATTTTTAAAGTAGGCTATACGGCCGGCTTGCCACACTTGATCTTCCATGACCAAGTCGCTTTCTTCYTTTTGATCTTAACTGTTTGGGGAGACCCTTCAACTAGATATCTTTCACCAAGGCCTTTCAGCTCTAAAGGGTTAATGTAATATTTATACTCATCGTYRTTCTCATCCTCCTCATCATAATTATTATTATTAAGCTACTATTTTAATTATTAATGTTATTCTAATGTATAAACAYGGTATTGTTTTACCTTCGTTCAATTTGGTTTGTTTCTTTTCTGTGAGGCTGACAGCATTATCTGGAAGGTTTAGTGGTGTAGTTGTTTTTGCAGTCCCGTTCGCTTGTTTTAWCTCTACAACAATTCTCTGGGAGCCGGATACAAAGGCAATGTCCATAGGATATACAATTACTACAAATTAAGTAAAAGTAATTCTTAAGATCCTATTGACACTATTAAACTTAACGTCCAAGTTCTTCTACCAGAATAGATGAAAGATGAGAAAATTGATAAATAAAGAATGACTTGTAAAAACAGGAGGAAAGAGAGGAAGAATTTAGAAAGGAAAGAGAGAAAGAAAGAAAGGCGTRAAGTCTGTGAAAGAAGTAGAAAAAAGAAAGAAAGGAGGAATGAAAGAAAGATTGGATGAATGAAAGAAAAGAAAAACGAATGAAAGAAATATAGAACAGAAACAAGTAAACGAAAAGGATACAAAATACAAGGCAACAATACCAACCATAAAATGAAATAAAATTAAAATATTGCATACTTACACTGCAGCATATCAAACCCGGTTCTGATGKAAGGCATCTCTAGTGCAATTTGGTCATCCGTATTTATTGCAAAGCAATGGGCCSCCTTGTTATCGCTTTTATCCAGTCTTGCAAGTTTGATGTTCAATTGGTTCCCAAGTCCAATATTTTTTGCAACATAAATCCCTCCAAAATTACTATAAAAGGAATACACTTTGTTATGTTATGTAATGATGGCATATGTTCAGACCTGTTCAGTCTTTATGGTCTTTATGTGAAAATCTGAGTAAAGCAGTTTAAAGCAATTGGTAGTAATTCTAGCTAATTCTAGCATCTTCAGAAACCCTTTTGTTATATTGACGTCATTGAGTCAAAGCGGGTCAAGTTGGTAAAATAATACGCGATAAACTCAAGATAACAAATATTATTTATACATACCTGACTGTTGTTTTTAGAGCTTTTATGGTTTTTATATTTCTGGATATTTGTGCTCTAAATTTTTCCCGCTTACCCCCTTTTCGTAATATATCGCCACCACACAGTTTATGACATCTAAGACATCTAATTCTGCTCCTTGAACGACTTGAACCACTGCCTGAGTATTCTGAGTAGATGTCGTAGATGGGTCGATAATAATTATCGAGGCTCTTGAAGTCATTGAGGTCAATTATGTAGAGAGATAAACAGCGTTTAAAACGAAGGTCACAAAGTAGTCACAAAGGTCGCGGACCACGCTAACATGTGTTGTGCCTTAGCAAAACGTTGTGTGATGTTTGATATCTGATATGGCAATATTCTTTTCTCGTGACGTGTACAGATTAAGACCATTTAACTGGAAATAAGCACGAAAGACCAAACAAAGGTCTCATAGTGAAATAGGTAAACACACTTAAGTGTTAATAGATGTTTGACGGCTTTTTTATGTCAATCAGATCACATCAGTCGGGTCACGAGGCGAAGTTAAATCATGTAACCCTTCGCAAATCCTTCCGATTTCCCGTATCCCGACGCCTAAAAATCACAAATTCCCGCTCCCGCCACTGATTTCGAATCTCGCATCCCGCTCGGATTTTAGCTCAAATCCCGCATCCTGCGAAACCTATTGTGAACCCTCATAAAAGTTAGTGAGAGAATTTTAGTCAAAATGATTGGTTATCCATGGAGTCTCATTGTAGGAAAAAAGTGTCAACAAAAAATTGAACCAAATCATGGCAACATGTTCTCTTTAGATAAATGTTTAAAATCTTACTTTGTTACATTTTGCCTGCATCAAAACAGAATCACTAATTGATTGCAGACCTCTACTATTAATCAAATGTTGTTTTCCCTCTTCTCATTAATGATATCAAATTGCCATTGAATAAATTAAATATATTGCATTGCTTTCTAATTACTTTATGTCACTGCAGTCATGATTGGTGGTCATAATTGGGACATTATGAAATAGTATTAAAAGTTTATACTTTTCTAGTGTTGTATTCTTAAAAGGTAATGGTTTCATATTTATTAAAACGAGGATTCTTCAACAGTTTTTGTATGAGTTTTATTACGATCTTTTGGACTGAGCGCCCATTATCAGGGATGTAGAAAATGTACTTACAATCGTCAGTCTTACGGTTTCGTAGATAAGCATGCGTGCGCCCTCTGCTTAGATTCGTAACCCTAGACTATGCTTTGATAAATTAAAAAAAAAAAAAAAATTAAATAAGTACATACAATGTCATTACAGTTGTCCACTTAAAAAACTGTAGGATGTTCCTTTAAAACCTTATACATGCGTCTGGCATATCTCAGTCTCTTTTTCTTATCCTGGCTACTCAGCAGCCCTTTTTTTCTTGCTTGCAAGAAATAGTAGCCATTCCAATTCAAAGTCCTGGATACAGTTCTTACCGACACCGTTTGTCCCAGATCACTTTCAGCCATGACTTCTTCTGCCGTTACGTTACTTTTCTCTTCCCTTTTTGCCTTGAAAACTCTTATTAGGCGTCTTTCTACACGCTTTGTTATCTTGCGTGGACGTCCATTTCTCTTATTTGTCAACCTGTGCTAGTGCTTTCACTTCTCAACAACGTTATAATCGAATTTACGGCACTGGGTGCGTTTCCACTAGGACATTTTTAGTAGTTTAAAATTCCTCTAGGTGTTTGTTTACATACTAGCTTATACTAGAATAAATGTGCAGCTTGTTTCCATTATGTAATTTGAGGTGATTTTAARCTAGATAGATCACATTACCATAGAGCGCGAGATTAAAAAAATGGCGGGAGAAGAAGCGCTTGTGTTTACAACACTRCTTTTAACATTTGCTTTATTCTTGAGAAAGCGAAATCGATTTCTTCGCAATCTGAGGTTAGCTGCTTTGCAAAGAAGAAGAAGACGTCAATTATCAATTCTTCTGACAAATCAACTCCAAAATAGAGGAGTTCGTAATCGCAGACGACCAAGAGCATGGGTCTACACTCGTCCTCAATTCTGGTTTGAACAACTTCTAAACGGCCAGAATCAAGATCATATTTGGCGGGAACACTTCAGAATTAACAGAAACACGTTTAATTTCATTTGTGGTATTGTCGGTCCAGATATGAGCAAGCAGGACACAATTTTTCGTCAAGCAATATCAGTAGAGAAGCGAGTAGCAATTGCTTTATGGCGGCTAGCTACTGGCAACTCTTATAGAACGATAGGACAAACATGTGGAATTGGACGTGCCACGGCAATGAAAATCAAGGATTCATTCTGCTCTGCCCTCATGCGTAGAGCCAATGATTTTATCAAGTTTCCAAAAACAGAGGAAGAGACAAGAAAATGTATCCAGGKGTTCCAAAACATCAGCACATTTCCACAAGTTGTCGGTGCTCTTGATGGATCGCATATCCCAATAGCCACTCCAAGGGAAAACCCAAACGCGTATTACAACAGAAAGCCATTTCACAGTATTATTCTGCAAGGAGTTGCCGATAGCAATAAGAAATTCTTACATGTCAGCACTGGGTATGCGGGAAGCATCCATGATGCAAGAGTCTTAAGAATGAGCTCCCTCTACACTGCAGTTGAACATAATTCCATTTTAAACACCCCCTCGAACAGAATTGCAGGTAGAGAAGTAAAACCTCTATTAGTTGCCGATCCAGCCTACAAACTGACTACTTGGTGCATGAAGCCATACCCAGAGGCAAGAGGGATCACGGCGAGACAAACAGCTTTTAATAGATCACTTAGTAGTGCCAGGGTTGTGATTGAGCAAGCTTTTGGTCTTTTAAAAGGGAGATGGAGATGCCTTCTAGATAATCTTGACGAATCTGAGGAGAAGGCTGCTTACACCATCACCGCCTGTTGCATTTTATATAACATATGTTTAGATGTAGATGATGACACGGAAGTTAACATTGTGAATGATGGAAATGGCAATCAAGCTAACCCACTCCCAGGCCATGTCATAAATCAAGATGGAGCAGGTCTAAGAAATCATATAAAAAATGCTTTATTTTGATACTGACTGTTTTCAAAAAGGGTAACTAATTTATATACAAGAGAACTCATGAATGTAAATTTATGAAAATTATTTTTGTTTGCATAAACTTCCATAGTATAAATCAAAAACATTTCAAATTATACTGCTAGTAGCATAAATCATTGTTAATGAACAGTAACAAAATTATTAAAGTTAATGAAATAACAAAATCACTTCTTGCTGTCACCTTTGAAAATTTTGGCTATTTGGGTGATGGTGTCCATCATAATTTTTTGGCTTCTAAGTTCTCGTTCGCCTTCAGCCTCTGAAAGGCGCTCAAAAAAGTCGTGATCTTTTTGTTGACTCCTGTAAATAACTAATCAACTCTGAAGAAGAGTCAGGAGAACTTGCCTTTCTCTTCCTTTCCCTTTTTTTAGCTGGAGTTTTCCCCTTTGATGTGTTTTTTTTCTTGGCAGTGGTCTTTCCTTGACCTTGATCTTCATTGGCACTCTCTTCCTCTTCTGCTGCATCCATGTCTGTTATGATTTCAGAATCACCATCATCAAATGACGTATTGGTTTCTGAAGAGGAGGCAGAGGACTCACTGAGGCCGGTTTCGATCACCAACTTCGGTGTAATGTTGGGTTTGCACCCCAGGACAACATCCATATCGTCATAATATTCGAACGTCTCCCTGTTGTTGCCACTTCGTTTATTATGGTCCTTTACTTTTTTGTATTCCTCTTCGAGTGATTTGATTCGGGATTTGCACTGGGGTCCAGTCCTGAAGTTGCTGAGACCTTGATCTTTTAATATTTTGTTTAATTTCCTCGAAATGTCATCCCAAACAACGCTGTTTCGCCTTTTGCTTACAGGGAAACTATCACGCCACAATTCAAGAAGAAATCTTGTCTCGGCGTCAGACCAGTTGGGGCTACGTAGGCGCTGACTGCTCGTTGTTGAGATATCGGTGGAAGCTGGTGGTCGAGCCGAATATTCGCTTGGAAACTCCAAGTTGAATGCTGTTCCAGACTGGTTTGGCAATGATGGTTGTCAGCCAGGAAAATTCAATGTTGCAGTTGCGCTGGTATGGTTTGGCAATAGTTGGATACCAGGGAAATTCAATGCGGCATTTGTGCCGAGCTGGTTTGGTAATGCTTGGTGGGTCCATTGTTGGTACATGGGGAATAAAATCGGTCCACGTGTAGATACTGGTTGTGTTTCACGCGGAGGTGGTATGACGAAGCGAGTTCTATAAATCAGAGTCAAATATGTATTAAAATCAACAGTCAGATGTAACAATTTAGGACATTTTTTTACGTACCTTGGAGTCGAAGAAGGAGTAAAATCATTGCTTCTATTGCCGTTGTCCATATTAAAAAAACAAGAGAAACGTACCCACAATAGCACAGAAATAGTCAGAAAGAGACAGAGCCCACGTTCTTCTCTCTGGTGCTTTTCAAGTTAATCTAGATAAACATTTTGACAGCAAACTGTCAAATGGTGAGCTCTGATTGGTCACGGCCGGCGGTAGTCCAACTTAAGCCATCTTTTTAGGTCGCTTATCAAAGGTGTCATTTCCGGAGTTGAAGCAACTAAACTCGGCTTAAGTTAGTTCGGAGTCGTTTCCACTGGCGTTTCCGGTATTTTTTCGTTAAACTAGTTTAAAATGTCCTAGTGGAAACGCACCCACTATGTCTACTAAGCTTTCATACAATTTTAGACGTTTTATTCCTGAGAGACTACACCTAGGTATAGTGCTTGAATTTTAATATCTCAAACATGGCCTATTGTTCTTCTTTGTTCACTAATGCATATTTTAGAATTTAATTTATCTTAGAATTTAAAGGGACTCTGAGGTACCTGACAGATCATAGCTAAAATGTACATCAAACCTTGTCGGTTTTGAAAATCGAAATAAATATTCCAAGAAATTCGTTTTTTGGGGTGATATCGTCCGTCAAAGGGCTCCCTGTGGAATATCACGGATTTGATGGCTTGGGATGGAACATGTTGAATAGCTGGAGTTGAATCAGGCAAATTTCGCTATTGAAGTATGGCTGTTTCCTATAAATTTGAGCCGGAAATTGCTTGAGGAGAAGAATATAATACACCATATGAAAGTGTGAGCGAGGAAAGTGAGCTAGAAGAAGTGGCGAACGACATTCTATGAGTAAACCGCAACAGCTTTCATTGTTTTCAAACATGACGCATCAATTGAACCAAAAGGGATTGTTGCTAAAGCTTGCTTCAATGTATTTTGAGGTGGATTCTGTAAATTAACCATTTGTCATTCAATATCATTTCGAAACACAGATTTTGATTATATGTACAAACTGCAGACTACAGCTTTTTTATTTGAGAGCTTACTTTTAGCACTTTTAAGCTTAATTTATTTTAATGCTGGAGGAAATATAACACGGAGAGCATATTACGGCAACAAATATTCGTCCTTTATTTAGCTTTGTAAATCTTTAAATATTCGGTTGTTTTTAACCAACTATCGTATGTTTTTCGTTCAAAAAAGCTTCCTATCGCGGGGTCTCATCGGCAAAACAAAGAAGACTTTCATTCAATAATTTTATATCCTTTTACAGATAACTTATTTAATTTTTGACTGAAATATAAATTTTTACCAAATATTCAACTGTTTATTAAGCTCTTCGAGGAAGTATGATTATAAAAGTGAGCTTAAATTGTATAAAGATGTTATTGTATAAAGACCTAGACTTTCACTTTAAAAAGCTAAAAAATATTCAAAAACATTT